TGGGTCTGAGGGAGGAGGCTGGGCCTGGAACCTGGGTCTGAGGGAGGGGGCTGGGCCTGGACCCCTGGGTCTGAGGGAGGAGGCTGGGCCTGGACCCTGGGTCTGAGGGAGGAGGCTGGGCCTGGACCCCTGGGTCTGAGGGAGGAGGCTCTGAGTGTGGTTCTTGGGTCTGAGGGAGGTGGTGGGGGCCTGGACTCCAGGCATCACGGAGCAGAGCTTTGTTTGGGGTATCCTGTGATCTGACCACCAGGACTCCCAGCTCCTAGTAGAAACTGGAAAGCACTGAGTTCCGGCCTCTTGGCCTCTGGCCCCAGCCAAGGCTGTGAATGGGCCTCTCCCTCCCTTGTCCTCTGCCCTCAGGCCTGGCCCTTGGGGGTTCACAATATGTTTTGTCCCCTCTGTCCTGGGACCAGCGCCCGGAGTCCAAGCTGGTCTAAGTTTGGAAGGGGGAGGGAGGGGGCAGCGGGTCAGGGGGGTGAGGGAGGGGTGTGGGGGACAGGATGTCTCTGTCTCTGTGCTGTCACACACACCTCTGCCTGGAGAAAGGGAGGGACAAAGGCTCTCTGAGAATCTGAACAAAGAGGAGGAGAGAGGGGCAGAGGAGGGTGCCCAGGGCAGAGTGGGCGCAGCAGGAGACCTGGTGGCCAACAGGGCAGAGCGTGGACGGAGGCAGAGGGCTGGGGCAGAGGCAGTGAGGGAGGCGACTCCAGAGACCCCGGAGTGTCAGGGGCAGCCGAGGGACCCCGAGAGTGACAGAGAGAGGAGGGCTCTGAGAGGGAGGGCGGGCTGTTCACGGGAAGGAGAGACTGCCCGAGGACCCGCGGGGTGGAGGCCGGGAGGGAGCCCAGGAAAGAGACTGGGCCACGAGAGGGTGACAGGAAGAGGGAGCCGCCAGGGGACCTCAGGCCCACGGGGGCTGGTGGGGACCCAGGTGCAGGCACCAGGTGCTGGTCGCCCTCTGGGGAGTGCAGACGGGGTGTCTGACTGCCCAGGTCAGCCACGACCAGGCGGCCCCCGAGATGGAGCTCAGGGCCCCTGAGACCCCCGTGGATGGGGACCCAGAGGTGAGATGGGAGAGACAGGAGGTGACGGAGGGGCAGGAAATCACAAGAGAGACCGCGACCCCGAGGGAGGGAGAGTCACACAGACCCAAGCAGACCCAGGCCGAGGACCCAGAGAAAGGGCCTGGGGGACAGCCCCAGGTGGGGCTGGGGGCTCCTGCTGCCTCCCACAGATGGGACAGGCAGGACCTTGAGACAATGACCCCCAGCCCACCAGGACACAAAAACAGGTGGCCTGAGCCTGGGTGAGTCATTGTGACTCACCCTCCTCTCTGGGGACAGTGACCCCAGTCCCCTGTCCCCAAGTGCAGTCCTGGGCTGGGCCTCCAGCTCCCTGTTGGGCTGTTCTCCCGGGACCCCAACTCACCCCCCACCCTGCCCCTCTCTGGCAGGAGGACACGGCTGCAGCCCTCCAGCGGCTGGTGGAGCTGACCGCTACTAGGGTGACCCCCGTGAGAAGCCTGCGTGTCCAGTATCGCCTCCTCCGAAAGCTGGGCTCCGGCTCCTACGGCCGGGTGCTGCTGGCCCAGCCTCGCCAAGGGGGTGAGTCCAGCCACCGAGGGCGGGCTCACACTCCCCGTGACTCCAGCCTCGCGAAGCCAGCCTTCGGGTGGGGCGGAGGGGGTCTCCGAAAGTTCAGAGTTCTGAGAAGGAGGTGGCCCAGCGAGGCCAAGTGGCCCACTCCAGGTCCCACAGCAGGCAGGAGTGCAGCTTGACTGGCCATTAGCCACTGCCATGTCCCTTTATGCAAGAGAAAACAGGGGCCCCTCTCAGAGAGGGTGAGGCCTGAAGCCCCACCAGCAGGCGGGAAGGCCTCCACCACGCTTCACAGGTGGAGAAACGGGACAGGAAGTCTGGGGCCCAGGACCAGTGCCCTGAGTGCCCCCCCCCCCGGGCCCGGTCTCCCTGGCAGGCCCTGCGGTGGCTCTCAAGCTCCTCCGTCGGGACTCCGTCCTGAGAGCCACTTTCCTGAGGGAGTTCTGCGTGGGGCGCTGCGTGTCCGCCCACCCCGGCCTGCTGCAGACCCTGGGCGGGCCCCTGCAGACGCCTCGGCATTTTGCCTTCGCCCAGGAGTACGCTCCCTGCGGGGATCTCAGCAGGATGCTGCAGGAAAAGGTGAGGCAGGCGAGGGGGCTGTCTGTCCCACGTCCCAGCCCGTCCCTCCTCTGTCTCCAGTGCTGATCCCAGGTCCACCCTGAGTCAAACCACCTCCCCATTTCTAACTCTCCATGCAAGTTCCACACCCAACCCCAACGTGGGTCCTTCCAGCCCTCCCAGCCCTGTGTGGAGGGGCAGGAGCCGGTGGGGCTGAGGATGCCCTGGGACTGCTGAAGGGGCTGGACAGAGACAGGTCCTAGTTGGCGCTGGGACTATGTGGGGGTGAGGCAGTCGAGGGAGGGCTGGTGGCAGACTGGCCACGGAGAGGAGGAAGGGTGGGCATGGTGGGGTGGCCCCGGCAGGCAGAGGCGGCTCAAGATGTGTCCATGATGGAGCTGGGTGTGGGTTGCAATGGGGCTTCTAGAATGAGACCAGGTCAGGACGGGACCCGTGAGATCCTAGGCCCTCCTGAGTTTGAGGACGAGAGGGCAGGGCTATTTCCAGGACTTTGGATTTGAGAGATAAATGGAAGGAAGGTGGGGGGAGAGACGAAGGATAGGTGTCGGATGTACACACTCTTGGGGGAAGGACCAGTGGATGGGCGGATGGATGGATGGATGGAATGGTGGACAGAAGTAACAAGGATGAATATATGGATGAATGGACAGATGGGTGGATGGAAGGATGGATGGGTGGGTAGATGGATGGATGGACGGGTGGGTGGACAGATGGGTGGAAGGAGGCAGGGATGGATGCACTGATAGATGGCTGAGTGGCTGGTTGGCTGGCTGGATGATGGATGGATGGAAGGATGGATGGGTGGATGGATGGATGGATGGATGGATGGGTGGGTGGACAGATGGATGCAGGGATGGATGCAGGGATGGATGCAGGGATGGATGCACTGATAGATGGCTGAGTGGCTGGTTGGCTGGCTGGATGATGGATGGATGAAAGGATGGATGGGTGGGATGGATGGATGCAGGGATGGATGGGTGGGTGGACAGATGGGTGGATGCATGGATGGATGCTTTGATAGATGGCTGAGTGGCTGGTTGGCTGGCTGGATGATGGATGGATGAATGGATGGATGGATGAAAGGAAGCAAGGATGAATGGGTGGTGTTGGATATTAAATAATTGAACTATTGGATCGTTGGCTGGCTGTGGAATGGATACATTGTTCAACACTGTGGGATGGAGGGATGGTTTCATGGATAGGTGGCTGGCTTTTCTGACTTGCCTCTGCCTATCTGGGTGCAAAGATTCATCAATCAATTGAAGCAATCTGGAGGGTAAGAATAGGATCTGGGTTGGAGATAGGGTGGAGATTAGCATTGAACTAAGATTAGGGGTAGGTAGGAGTTGGGGTTCCCCCTGGGGAAGAACTGGGTAGTGAGAGGAGACATAAGAAATCCTGAGTGGGTTTGAGTGTCGGGAGGATTTTCAAAGGAAGCTAAAGGAAAGGGCCTCAGGTTAGAATTGGGGCTCTAGTGGGGAAAATGTCCGGGGGCTGGTGGAGGCCAAGTCCAGATAAGGGTGTGCTGGAGGATGTCAGGACCTTGGAGGATGTTGTGGGGACACTGAGGTAGCTGCTGGTCCCAGGCCCTGGATTCCCCACCCCTTCAGAACAGTCTAGAACCATTTTGAGGTGGAGGAAGAAGGACCCAGGACAGCCTGACTTTCCTCCTCTGTCTGGCCACAGGGCCTCCCGGAGCTGATGGTGAAGCGGGTGGTGGTCCAGCTGGCTGGAGCCCTGGACTTCCTCCACGGCCGGGGGCTGGTGCACGCAGACGTCAAGCCAGACAACGTGCTGGTCTTCGACCCTCTCTGCAGCCGCGTGGCCCTAGGTGACCTGGGTCTGACCCGGCCTGAGGGCAGCCCAACCCCGGCCCCACCAGTGCCCCTACCCACTGCGCCTCCTGAACTGTGCCTCCTGCTGCCACCCGACACCCTGCCCCTGCGGCCATCTGTGGACTCGTGGGCCCTGGGGGTGCTTCTCTTCTGCGCTGCCATGGCTTGTTTCCCCTGGGATGTGGCACTGGCTCCTGACCCGGAGTTTGAAGCCTTTGCTGGCTGGATGACCACCAGGCCCCAGCCCCCTCGGCCACCAGCCCCTTGGGACCAGTTTGCACCCCCAGCTCTGACCTTGCTCCAGGGCCTTCTGGACCTGGATCCCGATACCAGGAGCCCCCCGCTGGCTGTCCTGGACGTCCTGGGCGATGACTGGGGGTTGGAGGGGGATGCAGAGGGACCCAGAGACCTGGGGAGGCTGTCCTTTGAGGAGGTGGCAGAAGGGGAGGAGGGAGGGTCAAGCCTGGAGGAGTGCACAGACGAGGAGGAGGACGGAGGCAGAGTCGGCAGAAGCACGGGGACAGACGGGGAGATCCCCGACCAGGTGACTGAGGCAGGTGGCCCAACCTGGGCCAAAGGCGCCCCCCTGTCCCCATGGCCACCTGGAAGGCAAGACAGCTGCTCCGGGGAGGACAGAACAGAAACACATTGCACCTTCCCCTAGTGAAGGCCAGTCCCACCCCAACGGAGGACAGGGTCCAGGCAGCCTCCTCCTCAGACCAGGGTCCAGGCCCAGCCTCCCCTCTCAGACCCAGGGTCCAGGCCCAGCCTCCTCCCTCAGACCCAGGGTCCAGGCCCAGCCTCCTCCTCAGACCCAGGGTCCAGGCCCAGCCTCCTCCCTCAGAGCCAGGGATCAAGGCCTGTGCCCCCCTCTTCCTGTGGGACACAGTTCAGCTCCTCTCTTTCTTCCCTTCACCCCATCCTCATCAGGAGGATAGTAGGGCAATGGGGAGGGA